CCCTTTCCAAATCAGCGATTTCTTATCCGAATCAAGATTTTTCAAAGCTGGTTAGAATTACCACCAACAGTTACGAGTTTTGTGATTAGGAAAGTTTATGCAGAAATAATATCACTATCAGTTGCCAACTTGAGTAAATCTATACAGAATTAACTAAAGAGATGTTATCTCGTGTCAAGTCCAACTAAAAAACTTTAGGATATTTAGTGATTTAAAAGCTGAAGACTTATTAGATTCGAACTCGGGTGAAGATAAGCCCAATAAAATTGCCATCACTTTTATCAATCATCATAAAGATGAATCCTAAGGACAGTGCAAACATAGCCCTTATGGCCATTGGCATCCATTGAGATGATGGACGGTGATGGATAGAGGGTGGGCCAAGTTTCCATCAAAAGTCCCTCGTTTATTGATAGGGATGACCCTGAGGACGAAGATCATTCCTCAGATGTTCTCTTTGAATGTCAGGTTCTTCAAGATTATAGTTTACCCTTCCCTCATTGAAAGCTCTTCACTCTAAGTAATACCTATTCCGACAAGCCTGCCTGGCCAGTGTAATACAAATGCATTAATAGTAAAGAAATAGTCGAACATCTCTAATGTAACACTTGATGCACAGGCAGTCAAAAAGTTCTACATCTTTATTTGGATTTTGGGTATATGAAACTACTTTAGATTAACAAGGCATATGAGTTATGAGCTACCAACAGGTTTATCACTCTCTAGCTTCTAAGAATTGCACAAATGGAAATTTTCCTAGTGCCATGAGAAAGAACAATTCAGATCGCTCTCTTAAAAAAACATGACGTTTCTTCTGTTATAAATCGAATCAGGTATGCTGCCGATCAAAAACAAAATAAATTATTAATTGTATACTGGAATCTTGCCTAGTGTAAACTCTAATTTCACATCCACTAATTGATCCTTCCATGATAGCCTAAGTAGATTAATAAGTCAACAGGTAGCCAATAGTACGTTCATATAAAGAACCTTAAAGCAGCAACTTGCAGTCGGACATTGATCCTATGTATATGCAGCCAGCAAGGACATTCAGATTTCTGGGCACATTAGTCACCTGCCAAGAACCTATAGTTCCAAATTTATCCCCAGAAAGGACAATAAAAGTAAGGTAATTATGATTAACCTCACGTGGCTACAATACTCATTATCAATGTACACAGCAATAACCAAAAGATATTGGTAATTGGTATATACCAAATAACAAGTTAGGCATAATTGTATTAGATAATTACTGATGCCATTTCCAATTTGATGTTTAATTAAAACAGGCAAAAAGAAAGTCCAGTTCTCACGATGCCTGCAATCATGTTAACTTGTATTACCAGAGCGTGCCACATGCTTTGACCTTAAAAGTTAATGACACAAAAATAAGTTTTGTAGCTTTGTATTTTCTGACATTCTATGCACTTGACTGAGGTTGCAGTCAATTCTATAAGAAGTCCTAAACTGAAGGCACATCCATTTCCGTAATTCCCACAATAATGTTAGCTGCGGTTGAAACAAATAGAGATCAGCCACCAGTAGCGAAAAGAAAAACTAAATTGGACTATCCAACTAACATCCAACTAGTAATCTGAGTCTTCGAATACCAATATACTTAAGATGTCAAGTTTAGACAAATTCATACTTTCCCAAGAAATGGAGAAATTGAAAAACCGATCTAGGGATTCACCCAAATACCCAGATATTTTCTTTAATAGTTCTGAAATACCCAGGTCTATCATGAACAATATCACTGATTTCCAAAACCTTATTGATTCATCAATACAGAGCATCAATAACTAACTGATAGGATTTGTCAAAGAAATTAATTTTCAACTATGGACTAACTTTTGAGGGAAGTCACATGTTATGCAAATCGTAAAACATGCAAATGTTAGAATAAGCATTCAAGTCGAAGCGAAACCATGTAAACTCACATATATAGATGTATTGCACAACATGTAGGTCCGCTGAACAATGAAGTTTGCAATGTCGAGAGCATAGACATTATGCAAATCCATATCGAACATCAAATCTTGGACTTCATCCTTCAGCTTCTTCTTCTCCACCTCCTCCCTCTCTACATAATTCTTATCATTTTTCTTATGGACCTTGAGCATATTAATTTGCCTAGAAATGATTTCACCAACCAAATGCTTTTCACTCACTGGGAGCAAACAGGCCCATGCTCCATATATAAGATCAGAGCTTCCAGCGGAAAGGACAAGTTCACTTTCCTCTGCCAACATCTCCATCACCATATACTCCTCTGTGAAGATACCAATATGGAGAAATGTTCCCGAATCGTACACTCTGTACTGGCTTATTTGATTTTTATTGGCACCATTTACCAAGTGCAAATCGATCGGCCTGTACAATACACTTTTCATCCCACCGCTAGGCCCAATCAATATGTTTTTGGACTTCGAATGTTGACATATAAAGCATATCATGACAGTGCCCATCATACTTCTAGTTGGAGGTAGTCTGAACTTGAACTCGGATGAAGAATGGGCAAAAATTTGTTGGAAATATGGGTGGATATCTAGGTTGCTAGTTAGCAAATTTACCTCTGCAGATAAGTGTGTAGCTTGTGGCTGCTTGTTCCCAATAAATTTCTGCAAATAAAATATTCAAAACTTTAACAAAACTTTAATAAAAGAAAATACAAAACTTTATGGAGTTCCCAAGCAATCAGTGCATGAGCTGTGGCTCTAAGTGATTATGTCCACAATGTTTTAATTTGAAAGCTCTACTGCAACAATTTTCAAGGCGATTTTTTTTTTTAAAATTCTGGCCAGATTAAAGTGTCTATTGGAGGAAAACTGAACAACTGAAACAAGTATGCAACTAAAACATGATTTACTAATTATACAGCATTTAAGGTCATCAAGAAATCAGAAGAATACAACGAGTACAAGATTGGCTCATTGTAGAGCATTTAAGGTCATCACATAAGCCGAAGCAGTGATTCAAAAAGCGGACCGCCCAGCGCCTAGGCGGTCTGAAAGGCCAAGGCGCATTGCCCAGGCCTAGGAGGCTAATCTGGGCGGTCGATCCCTAGGCGGTACAGATTCCGCCTAGGCGGGCGCCCAGGGGCGGAAATAACTTTCGGTAGAGGCGACTTTGATCCTATGTTTTTGTTTTTAAGGGCCAAAAATTAGGGTTTTAGGTTCATTTGAAACCTAAAACTTGTTGGAGCCAATTTTAGAGAGAGGAAGCCCTTAAAAAACTAGTTTTTGATGAATTTTGAAGGATCAAAGGGTTTCTCAAAGTTAACAAAAATTGATCAAAACATCACCGATTGATATTAGATTTACTTTTTGATGTTTTGCAAAGTTATTAGGGGGTTTTTTAGAAGATTTTGAGTATTTAGAAGCATCTTTGAGGTGGAAGTATGAAGATTGAGCAATCAAACTCAAAATACGTGATTTTTTTTTATTGCTTTAGTAATTTGCATTATTTTTTAGATGTCTTCTTCGAGATCTAATAGAAGTGGTGATCCCGGTTGGAAATATGGCTATAACCCAGATCCTAATGATAAAAATTACATAAGATGCAAGTATTGTGAAAAAGATACAAAAAAGGGAATAAACCGGTTCAAGAAACATATTGCTGGTATCAGGGGGGATGTTGCCCCATATAAAAAGACTCCTGATGTTGTTAAAGAGGAAATAAACAATTTTTTGAACATGGTGAAAATGGAAAAAGATGAGAGATTTGCCTCTATGACAGAGATTAAGTTTCGGGACGATAGTGATGAGGAAAGGATTGAGGAGGGATGTCAAGAGGTTGAGCAATCTATTATTAGGGGATAGGGGAAGGGAGTTGTAATTGCTTCTGGTTCTGGGACTAAAAAGCCTCGGGTTATAGGCCCTATAGATAGTTTTTTACGTCGGCATAACCCTGAGGTTGGAGGAGAGAAAACAAAAAAGCAAACCACCATAAAAAATAGAATCAAGAAGGCAGAGAGAGATAGAGCTGCGTATTATCTTGCTATATGGTTTTATGAGGCGGGTATTCCTTTTAATACCGCTTGCTTAAGCAGCTTCTATGCTGCAGTAGAGGCAATTGGCTAATTTAGCTCGGGGATGAAATCCCCAACCCCATATGAGCTTTCAAAGCCTTTATAAAAAAGGCAGTGAGTGCCACGAAGGAAGATGTAGAACTTAAGAAAGATGCATGGACTCAGTATGGGGTTACTATTATGACTGATGCTTGGAGTGATAGGAAGAGAAGAAGTCAGATGAATTTGCTTGTGAATTGTCCTGCCGGGACTATTTTTTGAGGTCTATTGATGCCTCTGATCATATCCATGATGCCCATTACACATTTCAAGTAATAGAGAAAGGAATCAAGGAGGTTGAGGAACATCTTGTTGTACAGGTTGTCACAGATAATACTGCTCCTAATGTTGCTGCATCTAATTTGTTGTGCATAGCATACCCTAGAATCTTTTGGACACCATGTGCAGCACATTGTATAAACCTCAGGCTTGAGGCTATTGGCAGTTTAATCGAGATATCAGGTGCAATGAAGAAGGCCAAATTAGTTACAAATTTCATTTATAGCCACCATCTCACCCTCAGCATGATGCGTACCTTTACAAAGAAGAAAGAGATTGTGAGGCCTAGGGTCACGAGATTTGTGACCTAGTACTTAGTCTAGATAGCAAACATTTGAGGAGAGTGCAGTTGAGGCAAATGTTTACCTCGAATGAGTGGAGAGCGTGCAAGTGGTCTAAGAATCAGATTGAGAAGAAGGTGAAAGATATTATTCTTCTAAGACTTTTTGGCGAGGTGTGAAGGGCGCTCTTAAGGTATTTTTTCCTCTTATCAAAGTCCTTCGTATGGTTGATATTGACAAGCCTTCTATGGGCTACATATATGATGCTATAGAGAAATGCAAAAGAGAGTTAGCCCAAAATTTCAATGATGAAGAACCCGCTACAAGTCTGTTTGGGACATTATTGATGAGAAGTGGGATAGGCAGCTACATCGGCCATTGCATGCAACTGGTTATTATTTGAACCATGCTTTTTTTTATATTGACAAGAATATACAAACAAATGTCACAATTACGAATGGATTTAATAAGTGTGTAGAGGTGCTAGTCCCTGATCCTGATATGTAGGATATTATATGCGCTGATAAGCTGATAAATTACAAATGCTCATTAAAGTCTTTTGGGAGTCCAATGGTGATGAGGCAAAGGACCAAAATTAATCCAGGTATTAATAATATTCTTAAGTTCATCTTCATCAAGTTCAAGTAATCAAGTAATTCTATTATTTTTTTATAATTTTTTTCTATATCTTTGCAGCCCATTGGTAGAGCCAACATGGGTGTAGTTCTCCAAATTTACAAAACTTAGCTATTCAGATCTTAAATCTAACCACTTCTTTATCTGGTTGTGAGCGCAATTGGAGTACTTTTGAAGGGGTAAGGTCGTAAGGGTAACTTGTATAATTTTATAAATAATACATGAACCATAGATATTAGATTTTAATTAGCTTCATTTGATTTTGTTAGATTCATAGAAAGAAAAGGAACTAACTTGAATCAAAGAGGCTCAATGACCTAGTCCATGTCAAGTACAATCGATTCTTGAAGGACAGGTTTGCTAAGAGAGACAAAAAATATAGATCATGCTATGGAATGGTTAGTTGATGATGATGAGGCCGAGGGATATGAAGGATTGACATGGGACATGGTCATGGATGCTTCAGGGACATCAATTGACCCTCCTAGAGTCACTAGAACTTCTGCACAGAGAACAAGGATGGAGGAAGACGAGGAAGAAGAGGTTGATTCAGAAATGACGGAGGAGGACGGGGATGCCCAATATGTCGAGGAGGGTGACGACTCCAATGAATATGATGCCAATGCAGCTGACCCAAGATTTTCTGATGATGAATGAATGATGAATGTTGATTGTTGAATAATTATTAAACTTTGAAGTTTGAACTTTGATTGAAGTATTGTGTATTGAACTATTATAGATTCTTTTGAGTCTTCAAGTATTACTTTCATAGTTTCATAATTCAATTTTGTTTTCTTCCTCATGCTGGTGTACTGCAGTACTGGTGTGATACTATTTGATAACTTGGTTTGATAATTTGGTTGGTTGAAAAATTTTAAGTTTTAATTGGATATAGAGTATGAACCGACTTATGGATTATGGTTATGCTTATGGAGTGTATGCTAAATGCTAATATGTAGTATAATTTGAATTATGTACTGCAATGCATATAACTGACACAGGCATAACTGCAGAATCCTTATTTGGATTCAACCGGCCCGCCCAAGTTCTGGGCGCCCGCCTAGGCGCTGAGCGGGCATGGATCCCCCAGGCAGCCTAGGACCCGCTTAGCGCTTTTTAAAAGATTGAGCAGAAGAACAACTAATAAAGATCGGCTAGTTAGAGAGCATATATTGTCATCACATGAGTAGAAAAAGATCATTTTATCATTGCACACAAACTAATTCATAGGCAATTCTGATCAAGAATGATGAAAGCAATATCCATACACTCAGTCTTTTAATTAAACATGACAGCCTGAAGAGTTTTGTTTATGAGGTCCAAACCAGGTAATAAAAGTAAGCTAATAACCCAACCTGATTCACACCTCTAAGTGACATATCACCCAAACTACTACATGCCAAGTTTTGATGTTATTTGTTATTCTGCCATTGATCTATTGTAAGTCTCTGCTAATTCCACCCAACTACTACCACCCGGCTGCATATCATACTCTCAATAGTGTTGGAAACTAAGTAAAATGGAGGGAGCATCAATATATAGAAGTAATTTTATCAAGACTGGACCATTAATTGAACCAGTGACCAGCCAGTTCACCGGTCAGACCAGTTTAGAATATATTTGAATAGCCAAAACCGATTTGACCAGCTACTACAACTGGTCCAACTTACCAGTTTAGACCAGTTTGACCAACTGCCAATTCTTTGATGAGACCAGACTGGTTCCAAGTCGGTTCCCGCTCTGCTCAGGTCTTAATAGTGTTGTTTATAAGGATTAGGGTAGGAATCCGCTTAGGAATGAGTTTGAGCAAAAGCAGGATCATGGTCCTGGTGTGGGTTTTCCAGCCAACATGCAAGGTAATGCAGCCTAGGGATACAAGGTCTAGCGCAAAATCACTCAACCAGCTTGTAGTGGAATCACTCGATGCCGGGTAGGAGGTCTCCCTCGACTCCAACTGCAGCAAAGCTGTTCTTGCAAACCAAATAAATTTTCGGATTCAAAAAGCGTCTTTTTCTTTCGTCTCTTCTTGAATATTCATAGAATTACAAAAGACACTTGGACAATTGAGACTTGTAATTTTCTAACAGTATTTTCAAGACTCAAAAAACCATGTTTTCAAGAATCTTGTTATTTACCCATACATTGGCAAACAAAAGCACTCTCAAATTACTCAAAACATTGACAAAATACACAAGGAAAGTAAGCAAATAATAAATCTTAATTAGAATACTAATCTTGTAAGTATTACTCAACTAAATCTCCAACAAAACCCAAAAACAATTAATACTTCCACAACTACCCCATAACTATTACTTGTTCTCCAAGAAAACCCAAAGACTACACTTCCACAACAACTCCTTAACAAGTTGAAATTGACCAAACTACCCCACTCTGGCCTATCACTGTCAGAACTTGCCAAATTCCCCTTCTTCGTGAACTCGCCTTCTAGCGTGAAACTTGAATTCCTGCTTTCTTCTTCAATGGATCTACTGAGAGGATCAATCAAGGGGGCATCCTGCTGGCTTGTGCATCACGCTCCCTTGGTTGGACAAACTCATCCTTGAGTATTGAAGTGGGTTAAGATGGGCTCTATGGCAAATTCACAATCTCCATCAACTTTTTTCTTTGATGGTTTTAAAAGTATGAATTGTAATATGAATACCTCAAGAAATGGATTTTGATATATCGATGGAGGAATTGCTTCAAACCAGGGTTTGAAAAAATGGTAATTCAGATCCGAACCGACCGATCCAGATCAGGAATTGGTTGGGCAAATCCAGATCCCATAAGATATCGGGAATCGGCTGGTTCCTCCATGAACTGGCCGGTTCTATCAGAGAAACTATATGAACCGGCACCACATTTTTTAACCTTTTTAAAACCAATTAATTATTGAACTTGTTAGAACTAGTTAGAACCGGCCCCACTTAATTTTTTAAATTATTTAACTTTTCCATATCGCAGATCCGGATCACCAATCTACCTAACCGGATAACAAATCTAGAGCAGCGACCGATGCATTTTCTAAAACCTTGATTCAAACATTTCAAAGTCAACCACAACTTCACTATTGAGGGGTTTTTGATTGACCTCAAAATCTAACCTCTCACCTAAAGTCAAATTCTTTGCAAACTCAAATCATCATCTGGGTACACATCACATGTGGGTGGTAATTCCCAATCTACAAGTTCTAAATTTTGTCAAAAGGAAAATGAATATAAAGATTCTTCTTGGGCTCCTCTTTCTTTCTTCTTTTTTTTTTTTTTTTGATAAGAGGTTCTCCTCCTTGGGCTTCTCTAGCAGCTATAGTGCACAGCTGCACTGATAGAATTTGATGCAGGCGGGGGCCTACAAGGTGTAGCTAGAAAACCACATCCAGGTTGTGGTGAAATCACTTGACTCTGGGTAAGAAGACTCAATCTCCAAGTGCAACAAAGAAGTTCATGCAATTACAAATAAACTTAAGAAAATTTCAGATCCAAAAAGCCTCTCTTATCTTCCATTTCTCTTGGGTATTTATACAATTACAAATAAACTTAAGAAATTAAGATTCATAACTTTCTAACCATATTTTCAAGACTGTTGCTCTATACCAATACATTTTGTGGGGTGGGGGGGGAGGGGCGGGGGGATTCACCCTCAAACACTCAAAGCATTGATTACAAACACATTGAAACCAAACAAATGATAACTTTTTTGGGGGTTAAATAAGCGATTGAGAACTCTTAACCAAAATTCTAATATACTCTAACTATTACCTTAACTTATTCTCCAAAAAAATCACAAAGACTAATAAATATTTCCAAAACTACCCCTTAACAAGTTCAAACAAGACCACCAGACCACACAACAGAAGCCCCCCATGGTCAGAACTTGCTGAACTGCCCTTCTTCGGTGAACTGGCCTTCTACGGTGAAAACTGAATAATGCCCATTGTCTTCTTCTGTGAATCCTCAAAGAGGCTCGATCAAGGGGAGATCCTACTTGCTCCTGCATCACAAAGTTGTTGCAGCCAAGGAAATATGGAGCCTAGCCATGCTCTACAAAAGATGCCATTTCTTCAAGGAGGCTATTGAGCTACATAGAACGATGTATAACTACTCTTGAAAAGATGATTAAGGACAAAAAAGAACATCCAACTAAATTGCATATCTTGGACCCAAATAGCTCCCATGGTTTCTAGGGACAGTTAAAACAAGCATTGCACGTTATGTGACAATGCGTTGGTACTACAATAAGATGATTGAGGACAAAAACAAACATCAAACTATATATCTTGGACCCAAATAGCTCCCATGGGTTCTAGGGACAGTTAAAACAAGCATTCCACATTATGTGACAATGCGTTGGTATTACAATAGGATATATCATGCACACATTCAGTAGAATAAGGTATAATATAATCATACGGAATGGAAGACATATCCTCGAAGAAGGACTGCAATCATATGAATCCCCTGACATGAAGCCCAAATTATTCAAGTAGAACACGAATCAAAAGAATGACACTTGAAAATAGGAGTGCTCACGAGCTTCCTGTTTAGATAAGTATATTCTTTTAAAGACACTAAAGAGATGATGACAGGGTGCATTACCGATTTCAAAATTTACCGTGTCCACTTCAATAAATTACCATGTAGATCCAACTAATCATTCAAACCAAGAAGTAAAATATCGGACATGCACACACACAAGACCACGAGCATACACATGCATGACAATATCTGAACATGGGTGAAACTACATAGAAAAAGAGGAGTAAACAAAATAAAAAGAAAAAAAAAAACTGAATGAATGAAAACCTTAATCACTTCGAAACCATAATAACTGGAATAAGATCTTCCAGAACTCTCTTTCAAGTTCCAGAGTATTAAGAGCAGATAAACAATCTAAAACAAGCACCCCCAGTAATACTAACCTGTAACCAGTCAGTGCCTTTCATAAGGACCTTTTTCTTTTCTTGATTGGTGCCCCCCACAAGATACTTATCCGACAAAAACAAATGAAACTCAGTCAATTTGTTCAGCTTCTCAAGATTTTCAATGGATTCCAGATCGAAACAACCTTCAAAATTTAGATATTCCAAATTATGCAGATTTTCAATGGAGCAAACGTCAACTAGATGCTTGCAGTGACCCAAATACAATGTCTGTAACTTCGTAGAGAATTTAGAAGCAATTATTTTCCTCAGTCCTGGGCAGTCCTTTATTCGAAGTGACTTGAATGCTCCAACTATCTCAAACTCCTTGATATTTGTGCACGACGATATTGATACAGATTGGAGATTAGCAGGATACTTTCCAATACCGAGCATATTGGGTAGCCTTAGATTTCCAAGTTCCAATTCTTCAAGGGAAGGAAACCCTTCAAAAACAAATTTTAGGAACCCATCAGTAATAACACACTCATCAATACACAGTTTTTTTATTGCAGAAAGCTCGGGGAAAGCTTCAGGATCCAATTTAAGTTGAGGAGTGCCAGATAGGGACAAGGTGACCAAACCAGAAAGACTGCCGACAGGCAGCTTCATAAGCTTTCGACAATTATGGATAAAAAGAAACTCCATATTTTTTAGGTCACTCATTTCCATGGGTAAACAATGTATGCGACAAGATAAAATAGAAAATAATGTAAGCTTCCTTAAATGCTTAACGGAACTTCCCAAATCCTCAAGCAATGTGAAAAGGCCAATGGTAAGTTTTTTCAATTGAGTCAACTTTGTAAACAAAGTTGTAGGAAATGCTCTCACTCCATGCCCATTCCATAGTCTGAGTTCCTCCAAACTGGTAAGCTCCCCAAAATATTCAGGGAGCTCGGTGAACTGAGAACAAGAAACCCAAAGTTTTCTGATGCATCTCTGACAGGATATGACACTAGGAAAGTAGAATGTTTTGCATGACAAGGCCCGAAAAAACTCTAATTTTTGAAAGCCCCCAATGATATCTTTCTCAACTTGCAATTTGCAACATTGTTCAAAATCAAGATATCTGATTTCTGTGAGTTTTTTGAATGATTCAGGAATTTCTAATAAGGCCGTACATCCTTTAAGATCTAAGTGTTCTAACTTCAATAGATCTCCTATTGTAGGCGGCAAATACTCTAATCTTTCACAATCAGATAAATCCAGATATTGCAAATTTCTCAAATTGCCTATATTATCTGGCAAAGCTTGCATATTTTCACAGCCAGAGAGATCCAGGTATTTTAAAGCTTGAATATCACAAAATTCATCAGATATTGCGACAAGACTAAGGCAATGACTCAAGACTAGTTTTTCCAGTCTCGTTAACAACTTTATGGATTTTGGAAAGCCCTGAAGATAAAGACAACCTCTCAAATTCAGCTCCTGCAATTGTACAGGTATCTGCAAAACAAGGACACAGAATTATTATCAGCCCAAACAACTAACGCCGCAAGAAAGGGCATAATTAGCTTGACATAAACCTTTGCAAAGTAAAAGTACTGCAGGAATGAATCTGTTAATTGTCTATCTAGTAAAAAAATTAGAAAGCAAGGCTAAACGTATGCAAACGGATTTATGAAATATGCATGAGAGTAGATGAATTTTAGCAGTTGATATTGGCTAGACCACGTCTATTACTTGTCTTACACCTAGGCTGTTATAGATCAAAATTTTAATATACATCTAGTATATTGTTGTTAAAATGAGCATGAAGTAATAACCTACCTCCTGGATGTCGCTCCACAAGTGCGAAAATTTTCCTCCTGACATGTCCAAGACATGCAGATTTGTAACTGGCAATCCAACTGGAAAAGATTCACTCGGGGAGTGCCGCCAACGAAAGCATAAAAGTTTCCTCGAGAGAAAACTAAAATCACCTTCAATGCAAGCATCTTCTAGTATCAGCAACTGTAATTCTGTCATGGGAGCAAATGAACTTAGAGACCACGGCAAATGTCCTCCTTTTTTCCTTATGACTTTGGATTTTGGTACAACAAAAGAATGAATACCGTCATCTTCAACTGCATTCACTACCAGGGTAAGTCCCTGGACAGTTTCAGAACCCTATGGAAGAAACCAAGATTACAAGAAGAATTATCTCCAGGATAACGGTTTATTGATTTGATAGATTAAAAGCAACCATGTTCTCTAGAAAATTCATAATACTAACTTTATATTTACCACATCAACGAAAAGAAAGAATAGGATCCAAGGATAATAGGAAAAAATTTGCAAGAATAAAATCATACATTAAAAGCATCCATGTTCTCTAGAAAATAAATTTGCAATACTAACTATAATTACCACATCAACAAAAAGAAAGAATAGGCTCCAAGGATAATAGGAAAATTTTTCCGAGAATAAAATCTAGCACATTCTCTGCGACAGAAAATTGTTAGTAAATGCAATTACCATAACAATAACCTATTGTTCCCTATCTACCTCATGTCAAAAAAAAAATGCAGTTTACATCTTCATGAAAATCTCATGATTAGAAATATGTTGAATTATCATTCACAGATATTGTTGAATTGCAGTTAAGAAGTATGCAACAATATGTTGTTATTTTGGCAGTTCCTTCGGTGCAGTCAATTCAACATCACAATGAATTTATAACAAAGATAACAAGATATCATTTTTGATGTTCAACCAATAACATGTCCTCTTTCAAATACATTAATTTTCATTTTTGTTGTAAAATCAATTTCTTTTCCTATTTCTTCAATTTGATATGACCCATTACTCTGGCTAGACCATAGGAAGCTGTTCATGATATTTCTCTAACATGTTTGAATTTGATTGGATGCTTGGCATATCATTAACATACATAGAAATCCTAGATAAATGAGCCATCCAACAAGAAAATGAACCAGCCATGTATAGTAAGGAATCAGAAAACAATATTTTTATACTCGTGGATACTGGCCTACTGGGATAGTCAAAGAATCATTTAAGTCTGAAAGCATGTAAGATACATGGCTTCAAATGCATCTTTCTATGCAAGATGTCTCCCACGCAAACATGAACCCTTTAATTTGAAAAGGAGAACTACACAAACAGGACAAGAAACACACACTTCCTTCGTCCAAGACTTTAATAACATCATTGGGCCGCCATAGGCGAGAGCGACATCCAGGGTTGTTGAAGTTCTCCTCTTCTAATATTTTTGCCGCCATATCTCTGAGTTGGTCATGCATACGAAACTTATTCTTCTCCAATTTTACGAGGCATTTGTGTTGCAGAGACCGAACGCCAGCAGAACCAAACCACTTAAGGGCATCCCAAACTCTGATGGCCATGTCTTTATCTTCACCGATAAAAAAAGATGCAATGTCCAAGAATATCTGCTTCTCTGACCAATCAAGAGCATCATAACTGACTCTAAGATGCCTATCAATATCTCCTGGTATAATCTCAACAATTGTCTGTAGTATTCGCTCCCAGATATGAATGGTTTCTCCAAAAACTTGAGCCCCAAGAGTTTCCAGAGAAAGGGGCAACCCATTACAGTACGTGACAAACTTATCGACCAGGACATCAAATCCAAGAGCAGGTTGGGGCATGAGAAATGCATGCCAACAAAAAAGCTCCTTTGCATAATGCTTTTCAAGACCATCCATATCATATATCAGGACATTTGGGATACACTCAACCAGTCTTCTATCTCTGGTTGTAATTAAAACTATGCTAGTGCAGTGGACAACCTCAGGAACCTGTAATGCATCAAGCTGATCAAAGTCATCAATATTGTCAAGCACTATAATGACTTCTGCCCTAACCAAACACTTTCTGAGAAGAAATTTCCCCTGATTAATACTGTGAATTTGATTATCTATTTGAAGTAAGTCCTTCAATAGAAAACCTTGAACTTTCTCCAATCCAGCCCTTACAACTCTATCCTTGATATCATCAACAAAGCAAGATGCCTTGAACTGAGAGCGCATAATATTAAAGAACTCTTTGGCCAGTGTTGTTTTACCTATACCACCCATTCCCACCAATCCAAGCACCCTTGCACCTCTACCTTCACGCCCAACTTCTAAAAGCCTCTGGAGTTTCTCTGTTTTTTCAGCCAAGCCAACCGGGTGCTTTGCAACTTCCAATACATTGGCATTCACCATTTTGATTGCATCTTGTACCACAGCCTTCAAGAGTTTGCGTGAATTCCTGCATAGAAAGATTTCTTTTAGATGTTGTTTGTATATTATATATATATATATATATATATAGACATAGAACCTAGCTAAAGAAACCGTATCAATCTGTGATGTGTAAAGAGGAATTCTCAAACCCTATCAGTCTGCTACAGCCAAAGTGGACAATAACCATGCATCTAAATCACCTAAAACTGGATGACATTGGAAGTTGTAAACTTGTAATTGTCCTCTGATAGTCCCTATATACTAAGTAAATTTGGCTTAGATTATCGGGAAGATTTGTTGCCTTGCACCCCAGTATTATATCATTTTGTCAAAGATCATTGCCTTAAGTGCTGCATTGGCAGCCTAGAAATCATCCATGGTTTGTTAAATCATGAGGAGGACTGAACTAAGTGAGCCTCAAAATCATCCATAGTTTGATAATTAATTTGTCAAACACCATATCCGAAGTGTTGCATTGCAACCTCAATATCATTCATAGTCTGCTAAACCATGAGTCAGATTCATCTAACTGAGCCAAGTACAATAAATTGTCTGAGTTACAAAAGGTATGCTAATTAATTTTTTAGAGATATATACAAATACCCAAGATTAGCAAAACTTTGGATACACTGTGTGAGGAAGTGTGTTTTTAAAAACCTTGTAGAAAATTGACTCCAATCATAAGGTAAACCACATAACACAATCAAAACAAAGAACTCACAGAATGCTCCTATAATTTTATGGATTCGGGGACTAGCTCCAGGTTGCTTATGAGCAACCCATTACGGTTTACAGCCACCAGCTTTTGCGAAGTGGAACACCCTTGATAGGGCTTTTAGCACACTACAGTTAGACTAGATTGAAAGGTTTGGAGTATAAAACATGGAATTAGATAGAACCCAACAGATTAAATGGCTCCATTTGCCCTTGTGGATATAAGAATAAGAGGGGGACTATGTACCTCTACTATTATATCCGCTCTCCTTCTTGCTCAAAATGAGCTGAGTATGTAACATCCCTTTTTTTCTAGATAATAATCTCAAGACGTGAATTCACAAGGTGAGTACCTTCAGCCACGATCATACCTCTGATCTTTCTATAGAATTCTTTCTTTTTCTCATACTTTCTCTCTTCTCGCAATTTGGGTAAAATTTCAACTCTACATTCACTCTTCGACTCCATATTCACTCTTCTCTCTCTCAGCACTTGCTCTCCACCTCAAGGCTTCAAGATAAGAAGAAGTATTGTTCAAACAAGCAGACCGCCCAGCGCCTAAGTAGTCGAGAAGGCTTGGACGCATAGGCGGCAGTCCCCAGGCGGCCACCTAGGCAGTACTACACCCGCCTAGGAGAGCGCCAAACGCCCAACCCTAGGCGGCTGCCTAGGGCCTACTCCCCGCCTAGGGGCGAAAATGAGTTTTTGTTTTTTATTAAGCTTTTTTGAAAAATAAAAGCTTTTAAGGATGGGTTTTAGGTTCATTTGAAACCTAAACCCACAAGAACCTATTTTAAAGAGAAAAAAACCTCCAAAAAAACTAGATTTGGTGATTTTCATTGGATCGAAGTGTTTCTCAAAGTTACAGAAAATGGATCCAAACATCACCCAGGTAGATTAAATTTAGTTTTGGAGGTTGTTTAATCCTATTAGAGGGTGTTTTTAAATATTTTAGCACCAATAACCATATCAGAGGTGGGAGTTTGAAGTTCGAGCAATTAAAGTAAGTACAAAACTTTATTTTTTAGATTGCTTGTTTTATTTTGAGATGTCTTCTTCAGGATCTAGTCAAAGTGGAGATCCAGGTTGGAAATATGGATATAACCTGAATCCAAATGACAAAAATTGCATTAGATGCAATTATTGTGAAAAAGATACAAAAAAGAGCATAAACCAATTTAAGAAACATCTTGCAGGTATTAAGGGGGATGTTGCCTTTTGTGAAAATCTTCCTGAAGCTATCACAAAAGAGATTAAACAACATATGAATTCTGTAAAACAAAAACAAGAACAAAAGTCCTTGTTATTTGAATAGATCTATTTCTGCTTCTTTTAGAAGAAGTGATCCGTGTTGAAAGTATTGTCATAACCCGAAACCAAACAATAAAAATTGTATAAGGTGTAATTTTTGTGAAAAAGATACCAATGGGGGTATTAACTGATTTAAGAAACACCTTGCCGATATTAAAAGGAATGTTGTTTCTTGTAAAAAAGTTCTTAAAGCTATTCGAGATGAGATTAGATAATTTCGAAATTTAAAAGAACCAGAAAAGGATGAAAATAAACCTTGTTCTATAGAAATATCTTCTCCAGGTTCTTCTAAAAGTGGTGATCCAGGTTAGAAGTATGGTTATAACCCGAATCCGAATGACAAAAAGCGTATTAAATGTAATTATTGTGGAAATGATACTAATAGGGGTATTTACCTGTTCAAAAAGCACATTGTCGGTATTAAGGCAGATGTTGGCATGTTGCTTCACGTAAAAATGTTCTTGAGGCTACTAGGGAGGAGATTATACAATATTTGAGTTCGGGGAAGCACAAAAAGATAGAAAAGGGTGGAGCAGCCAAGACTCCTAAAGCTTCATCTGCACATTGCAAGAGGGAGGTAGAAGAAGAGGAGGAGGAAGATGCAAATTCGAAAGAAACAGATGAGGACGAGAGTTATATTGAAGAGGGAGATTACTCTGATGATGATGGCCTCGAATCTGATGCATATGATGAGACTTACCCTATTCTTTCTGATGCTGATGATGATGACTAAAGAATGAAGAGTTGAAGATGCTTGAGTGCTTGACTCTTGATGTTGACTGTTGAGTGTTGAGCGTTGACTATTGTGTCCTAGACTGTATATTTTCTGAATTTCTGTATATTTTCTTTTTCTTATATTTAGTTTCTACTTTCTAGTTTCTAACTTTTGTGCGTATCAAACTATCAATGTATGCTAGTATGGTTTTACTGTTTTAGCTTTGTATGAAAATATGGATTATGGTCTTATGGATTATCAAAATTCTCTTCTCAACTTCTATTTTTTCTTGGCTTTTTCAACTGGGCCACCCAAGTTCTGGGCGCCCGCCTAGGCGCTAGGCGCCCGCCTAGGAGCTAGGCGCTAGGCGCCCGCCTAGGCGCTAGGCGCCCTGGACCCCCATGGCCGCCTGGGTGCCGTCTAGAGCTTTTTGAAACACTGAGAAGAAGCTCTCCAAATGGCTAAAGTATGGGGTGTTTATGGGCCAAGAGGAAGAGCTAGGGTGTCTTGCCACTCAAAGCAAGGACAAAACTGGAATGGAATTTGGGCAGACTGCCCAAAATATTACATAAGCGAGTGGTGGCTCGATCCATTGGCGGGGTAACAAGAGGAACCAATATTTTGGGGTCCTTTCACCCCTTCATTTTGATGTCTTTTCGTGGCTTCCTTTCAAACTCTTTTTCATGGGTTGATAGGGCATTGATTCAGTGGTCCTTGTAACTTGATTTCTAATAGAACACCTAAAATTTGGAGTCATGGGCCAATCACAATCGACTGCTCATGTGATGGTTATATGCAGCAGTCTTTTTAATGACCCATGATCTGTGGCTCAAACCACATGATCTGTGGCTCAAACCACTCTCCCATCTGGATTTAATACATCTGAGCTCTTGTGTAATCTCGTATGGCATTGAGTGAAGATTATTTTGGCGCAAATTTCAGCTCGAAAGGCCCACAGATGAGGGTGAAATCATGAACAAAACCCTCAGAAGTCCTGTAATCTAATTCTGAGTGGTCCCTTGATGTCCTCGTATTCATTCTCGGGTCTTGGAATTATTACCTACAACGTGCATATGGTCTTATTGGGCAAAACGTGAGGACCGAACCACCCAAATTTCAGCTTAGAAGGGCTTGTCAAAATGGATAAAAAATGACTTGCGGCCAGGTGGTCAGTCCGCCTGCTGCTGAACATGGGGTATTTTAAGCCACCGGCGGAGTGTTTGATCCACTGGTGGCAAATCTATTCTGGCCCCTGGACATTGTCTTATTGGAACCTGGGTCAAACAGGGTCCAATTGATTAGAATTTTGGAAAGTCTATTTGAGGCCTGACAGATAAAAATCCCACCAAATTTCACCCTTGTTAAAAAATCATTTCAATCGAAGACCCATTTCCAGTGATTTTATCTCATCATTTACATTTGACTATTAATCATTTTATATTCTGATACTTATGTACTTCTAAAATTCCAAATAAATTTTTATTTCTTCAGTTTAATGGAATTCAAATTCAGTCTATGTACCTTCTACTTCCAGTACATGTTCATCTATTTCTTGGTGGTTTACCCACTCGGTTTTATGGCTGCTAAGAATTCATATTTTGTATTTGTTTTTTATTTTCAGTGTTGATTTTTAATTTATAGATTTTTTTTATTTATCGTTTAATTTATATTTTTAAGGTTTAACATTTTTATTTTCAGATATAAAAGGGCAAAGAACAAACACCTTGGGGTTTCCGATTCTACAATTTAAAGGCTAACATAATGCACCATTCACTATAAACATGTTGATTATTTCAAAAAAACACAAAAGGAAAGAAAGAAAGAAAACCAAAGCTTCTTTAGCCTAGATTGTCCTTGCCAAGAATCAGTATGAATTTCATCATCATTCAAGGTAATGATACCAAAACTATGCATAATCAGCTGATTGCTGATATTATTAACCAAATTTTTCTTTACAGAAAAGTAACTAAACATGGATGTTTCAGCTCCCATAGTTTAAAAGGTTAGCCTAGTTAAATATTGGCCTTGAAAACCCAGTATAGTGCAAATATGACCGAAATGTTATTGGCCTAGTGCATCGTTGATCAGGAAAAGCGAGGATTTCAGCCAACTTAAACTGTAGCTCATGAAAACTGATCATGACCAAAATTCCCAATGAAAATTCACCTAATTATAAACCAAAACACAAACAGAACGGGGTTTCAGATTCCACCACTTGAAATTCTAAGCCAGTGAAGACCGCCGTAAAGACCTACTGTTTTTTAAATACAAACCAAATGGTAAACACCTGGTTCATCTTGGTCCAGGAGAAAATTGACCACGATTTGGAAAATTAGAAGACATGCATATCAAAGTTGCAAAAAAGAGCACAGAGGCAACTGAAGTCGATAATGAATACATCGAAACAGCATATGAGCAACTCACCATCGAAAATCGCTGAATTTCCAACCAGAGAGGTAACCTGTCTTCTGCAAGAAAAACTTCCACTCTTCTTTTTGCATAGATTTCTCAGCCCCCTCAAAAGCGAGCCTGAAGACCCCCTTCTCTGTTCTTCTAACCTCTGAGGGCCTCACATCATAAAATATTGGAATCATATGAATCTTGCTTTGATGCATCAGCCTCAGCTCTTCAAGACAAAGAGTGCAATTTGCAAAATCCCTTGTTAAAATTACTATACACACAGTTGCCTCATTAATGACCTCCTCATTGGGGATCGAACAATTTCTACTGCAAAGAGTGGAGATATTGAGTTTCTGAAGGTGTAAGAGAAGGTCCTTTGCAATACCATTTTGTACCTCGAGAGAAGGGGAATGGCAAATGAAGATCTCACATTTCCTCGAATCCACATTACATGTATTCACTTCCATTGTTGAAGTGTCTGGCCTGAACCAGCGAGAGAAAAGCTTCTGAACACGTGAAGATGAACTTCTCGGCATCTTTTCTCGAAAATTTTCTCAGAATAGGAGATAAATACGTTAAGAGTTGCAGAGTTAGGGCTTTTGCATGCGATGAATGTGTTGAGAGTTGCAGAGATAGGGTGTATTTTGCAGTAAATGGAGTGGAAGGGGAAAAGTGGATTCATCAAAATTGAAGGATTAGCGCTTTGAGGAGTCAATGATAACAGCGAATGATCCATTTTTTAAGATTAGGATTCCGATGAAGAAGGAGTCTTGTGCTAAGGCTAAGAGCAAGTGGGTATAGAAAAAGACTTTGGAAGAATCGTAGAAAGAGAAGGAAGACGATTTTAGCAATAGAAAAATGGCGGGTTTGGAACAGAGCGAGCGAAATGCATATACATACACGGACAGAGGGTTTTATCTTTGAAATGCCTCCCCGCGTTTAGCCGTTTCTTGTTGTATCTCTCTCTAAAATAAAATAAGGCCTTCGTGGGCAACTTGTCAACCGGGCCCGCCTGAGGACTGACGAGATTGGGCATGTGGGCTGGGCTGGGCTCGGGCATCCCAAGTACAGACTCGGCCCGGGGCAGTTTTGGTTTGACCCAAAATTTCATTGACAAAATTATGTCGTACCATTTTATTTTACCGTTATAATAAAAGAGTAAATTATAGATACCCTAATTTCAACTTTCTACCTATCTTACCTCTAATATTTTTTTGGAAAAATTGCAATATCCCTTGGACTTTTTACGCACTTTACCCATCCAACTTTTTCTAGCAACTTTTCAAAAAAAATAAATCATGTTTCTTAGTAAATACCCCTACACAAAAAGTTAAATTATTTTTGACGAAAATACTCTTCCCTCATGTAACAAATCATTTTTGGATCCAATAAAAAGAAACGTCAGACCGCACTTGTACAATACCGGACTGCTCATTTTAAAACGTCGGACCGCTACTTCAAAACACTGGACTGCGCCTTCAAAATACCTTACCGTCATATCAAAACTCCTGACTACCCCCTTCAAAATGCCAGACCGCAACTTCAAAACGTCGGACTGCCCATTTTAGCAAAAAAAAATAAACGCCACATCTCCCATTCTAGCAAAAAATAAATAAACGCCGGATAATCACCATGAATGTTGGACTACCACCATGAAACGCCGGACCGGCCATTCCAGCAAAAATAATCGTCTGACCTGTTCAAAAATTAGATGGGGTAAAGTGCTTAAAAATTCCATTTGGGGGGGTTTTTGCAATTTTTTCTTGAATTTTTCCTACCCCGATTATTTTTTCAATTATACCCAAAACCCCAACACTATTTTTCTTTATATTTATCTCCTAATCAAATAGTCAAAATATTTTGAGACCAAAATGCCCTTGTTCTCTCTCTCTTCCCCTTTTTAACATATTTTTTTTATATATCTCTCTCTCTCAAGCTCTCTCTTTCTAGTTACCAAAAAACCTCTCTCACATGTCCTCTCTCTTTCTCTCTCCACATGTTTATCTCTACCTTCCCTCTTTCATTCTCTTTCTATGCACTTTCATTCTCTTTCTACCCTCCCTCTCTTATTCTCTCTTACCCCCTCCCTGATGTTCTCTACCCTCTCTCAAACACTCTATCTCTCTCTATGCTCCTTCATTCTTTTCTCTCTACCACTCATATATGGTTCGGCACAAAAACGTGTCGAACTGCATTATGGGCATGTGAGTGGTTGAGAGAGAAAGAGAGAGAGGGTGAGTGGAGAGGTAGAGAGAGAAAGTAAGAAAGGGTCATGTGTCTAAAAAGACAGAGAGAAAAAATGGGAAGATAGGGAAAAAGGGTATTTTGGTTTCAAAATGTTTTGCCTATTTGATTGGGGATAAATACAAAGAAAACTAGTGTTGGGGTTTAGGGTATAATAGAGAAAGTATGGGGCGTAGGATTTATAGAAAGTTGAAATTGGGAGGTATCTATAATTTTTCTTAATAAAAATGCTAAAAAATATTCAGTATTTACACAAAAGAACTGACCCTCTTGTATTTTTTTATTTTTTTTTCGATTTTTCCCAATGTTTCAAAACATTGAACTACTGGTTAATTTTTATTTTTGTTATTTTTTTAATATTCATAAGTCATCTAATATCAAAAAAATGGAATTGGACAATTTGTAGGGCGGTTCGATGTTTCTGCTTGTGTTAAGTTTTTTTTTTTTTTCTTATAGCCCCTCTATCGTTTCTTCGTTGCTCTTTCCTTTTTGAGTCGGTTGTTTTAAGTCGTGTTTGTGTTACGTGTGGTGGTATGCTGTAGAAGTAATGTATGGATTATATGTGTGGTGAGTCATTTATGTAAATTAGTTTGCATAAATGGAGATGGAGGAGGTTGAGCATTGGGGGATGAGTCCTAGGGTGGTAGTAGAGGTGAAGGAGTGTGAATCCCTTCTTTACGAGGGTCAGACTCACAGTGGTAGATTCGTTTTGTCCTCCAACAGATTATGCTTTTGGTTTGGGGGAATGGACTAAAAGAGGGTGAATTGTAGACTACTCACCTGAAGTGTTTCCAATGGTAATGGAATGATAGCTTTTGTCTTGTAGTCTGAATTGGATATTTCAACGGCATTTTAGGAAAATTTTTATAGGGTTCATGATTCGTTGATGACACTGGGGGGTTGGAATCCAATGGTACATTCTTCTTGTGTTCAAAAATCTAATTGTTGGGTTCGGTTATGGGAAATTCCACTACATGCTTAGGATGTGATAGTGTTAAAGAAAATTGTCAATATTTTTAGAGAATTTTGTGAAGTTGACAAAGCTTCAATCAATGGATCAAACCAGTTAGAGTAAGAAGATTCTCGACTATCCCATGCCTCAAGAAGGTCAGGCTTCAAGAGGGGCCCGATGTTTTTGAGATTGATGTTAAATGTTGAAGGAGTTCAGGTGGAGTCTCTGCCTCAGGTTAAGGAAGATATAGCCACGGAGTCTGAGATAGTTCATCCTGAGGATGATTGGACAGTGGTGAGAAAGAAGAAATCTGGGAATACTCTGCTTCCTGGTTTTGATCGGAATGGAGATGTTGGGAATAAAGGAGTAGTTCCAGGCTATTTTAGATGGAATTCGAATTACCATCCACCTCGCCGACAGTTTCACCGTCAATATTGGAATGGAAATTCAAATTTTAAAATTCAAAAGCAGTGGATTCTGGTGGGTAGGATCACAGATTTGAAGGACAATGTAGCAGTACGAGCTTCAGAAGTGCAGCAAGAGACTAGGAAGGTTGTTGACGGTGCAGGTCCGTCAAGTGCACCTGTGAGTCTACCTGAAAGACTAAATCCAAGTGCAGGGAAAATCTTCGCATCGGTTACATAAGTTTGTACACCTGGTATGGAGCTGCAGGTGGCGCATCCTGAAGAGGAGATTTTGGAAAGGACACCCCCTGTCATTGAAAAGGTAAGGGAGGTTTTGAATATATACTCAGTTGCTATTTCAAGGGTATGTTGTGAAGAGGTTGAAGGAAAAAATCTTTCCTTACTATGTTCTCTGGTGCTGCAGATACGTGTGGAGGTGCAAAAGGTGGTAGTAACTTGTTTTTATTGCTTCTGCTTGTAGCAAACATGAAGTTCTTGTCGATAAGGAGAGCATCCAAGAAGCGTACTGAAGCGGAAGACAGACCAATGTTTGATCCTTTACTGGTTGACCCATTGTCCATTTTCTGTTCAGGAGTCGGATGGGGAAGGCTTAGAGGAGGATGTGGATGAGGAAGGTATGGAGCAAGATCAATTTTTTTATCCAAACCTTGCTCTTATGGAATTGGAAACTCCTCCTTTAAGTTTAATCCCTCGGATTGAAGAGTTCCTTGCTCTTCCAGCTTCTGTAACACTTGAAGACATTCTAGCTCTTGTTGCACAAGAAAACATAGAGAATAAGCTTGAAGATAGTAAGAATGAAGCTATGGTGGATCATATGGGGCTAAACTATGATGAAGAGGTTCCTTTAGGGGAGCTTCTGGAAGATATAAGAAACAAAAAGAAGGCAGCGAAGGTTGATAATCTTAAGAAGAAGATGTATCAAGGTGTGGATGCAAAGAGTTCAAAAGAAAAAGATAAGTTTGTTGCTACTAATTCTGAGAAGACTCCTTTTCTATTAGGGCCTAAAAGATCGAAAAACACCTTGAAGGTTCAAATGAGGTCATCTGCTAGGCTTGCCTGGAGGGGTCCAGGGGTGGAGATCGATAGACTGGTGGCTGATAATGCTGATTTGGAGGAAGTTAGCAGTGGCGGGTCAGAGTCTTCTTCATGATTGACATTAATGGATATTTCCCTTATGCTTGAGAATCATTACTTTGGACCACCTCTTATAATTATCTTAAATTAGAATGTAAGGGGTTTGGGCGATAATAGTAGGAAAATTGATGTTTTGTTTTTTATTTAGGAAATTTAAACTTGATGTTGTAATTTTACAAGAAACTAAGTTTCCTAGACCTATTCTAGTTTGGGTAAGGGAAGTTTGGGGTCCTAGGGCAATATGTTTTGAAGGGGTGGATGCTATTGGGGCATCAGGGGGGTTGTGGGTTTTGTGGAATCCACAAATTTTGCAAAATTTTATTGTTATTAAGGGTGGTAGAATTTTGGGTGTTCTCTTTAATGGACCTAGTTTGGGGTTATTCTTAATGTGTATGGACCAAATATTTCTTCTCTGAAAGAAGGATTTCTGGATGATATCTTTGGTTTTCTAGCTGAATATGTTATTCCCTTTTGTATTGGTTATTCCCTTTTATATTGGTGCTGATTTTAACTTAACTCGGTGGTTTGATGGGTCTTCTTCAAGATGTGCTATCAATTCGTCCATAAGATTGTTTAATAAGTTTATTGAAAGTAATTCACTTGTTTGATATGCCTATTTTTGGTGCTTGGTATACTTGGACGAATAATTCTGATGTTGATCTTGTGATGACTAAAATTGATAGATTTTTATTATCAAATGAGTGGTTGGATAATTTTCCTTTAGCTGCAATCAAGGCTTTGCCAAGACTGTCTTCAGATCACTGCCCTATGTTGCTTAGCTTGAGTAATGTTTTGAGTGGACCTAAGCCTTTTAGAATGGAAATTGGTTAGTTAGAAGAATCAGAGGTTATGGAGCTGATTATAAGAAACTGGGAAAGTACTGTTACATTTGGGTCTTTAGATTTTCAATTATATAAAAAGTAACTCAATGCCAAAAATAAATTGATTGAATGGATGAAAAAGCACAGATACCTCTTTAAAGAAAAAATTGATAATTGCTTAGTGGAGATTCAAGTTCTGGACCGCTCCATTCAGGAAGAAGTAAAGGTCACTGAATGCATTATGGTGGATTGGGTAGAGAAGCTTAAAACCCAGAATGATAGTCATATAATTGAAGAAATTTATTGGAGGCAAAGGTCCACAGTTAAATGGTTGAATGATGGGGACCTTAACATAA